TAGTTAATATTGCATCAGTTCTAACTTGTAGCTATGCCATATGTGTCTGAACACAACTATGCTCTGTAAAGCTTTTAATGATTGATTCTGTAGAAATAGGTTGTGAAGCCTTTCTTCTGAATATGGTTTATTATATACTTCATTTTTTCTTCTTTTCTATTGCCATCTCTCACCCATCCCTTCTGAGAAGTTAAGCTGTAAAAGCAAAGCATATATTCCATACATATGACTGTTTAGATAAGGAAAACAAGAAGAAGTTAGGTTCAGAGTTGGGTTAAACATGGGTAAATTGATAAGAGGTGATTCGTACTCCTTTTTAGAGTTCATGATAGCAACATAGCTGCATGATATATGTCCTCCTACAATGTGCTGGACTGCAAATTCAGTTTGAACAGCAAGGTTGGTGGTTCAGGCTCACCAGCTGCTCCTAGAAAAACTCTATACAGGGTTTCTATGGGCTGGAACTGACTTAACAACACTTAACAAAAACAACTATTACAACTACATTGTATAAGGAGCTTTGCTAACATAGTGGTTATCAGTTGGGCTGCTAACTTCAAGGTCAGAAGTTTGAAACTATCAGCTGTCCAATGGGTGAAAGATGAGGCTTTCTGCTCCTGTAAAAACTTACAGCCTCAGAAACCCTATGTAGTGTTGCTGTGAGTCAGAACCATCTCCACGGCACATAACCACTACCACCACCACTTCACCGTATAGAGTCCTAGTGTGGCACTGCAGTATAACACACTGGACCACAAGGTCAACTTGAACTGCAAAGTCATTCATTCAAATCCACCAACTGCTCCTTGGAAACCCTATACAGAGTCAGTAAGAGTCAGAACTGACTCAAAGGCACTTAACAACAACAACTACATTGCTTTTCAGCAAATATTTGCTAAATACTAATTAAGTTCTGGTGTGGTGCTGTAGAATAAGTATTGGACTGCTAGCCTGAATGTTGGCAGTTCAAACTCACCAGTTGCTCCTTGGAAACCCTATACAGGGTCGCTATGAGTCAGAACCTATTTGATGGCACTTCAAAGTAACAACCACAAAAACAACAACAACAGTAACAGCAACTTAAGTGTTTGAGACTATTCACATTTGTCTTCTTCGCATTGTACTTCAATATCTCATCTATAGTGGGGTTCAGTATGTATGAGGACTCCTGGGGTGGCGCTGTGGGCTAATGCGTCAGACTGCGAAGTCGTTTGAACTGCAAAGTCAGTGGTTCAGGCTCACCAGCTGATCCTTGGAAACCCTATACAGGGTCTCTATGGGTTGGAATTGACTCAACGGCACTTCACAACAACAACAACAATACGTATGAAGGGAAGTAAGAGACTGTTGCTTCTCGGGTTTCAGTTCATATATGCATGCACAGATTTATTCCAAACAAAACATGTTTAAACATGTCTCTGCAATCAGTGACTATAGACAACTTCTCTCAGTGACATACTTGTTTTAGTCTCCTTGACAGTCATTTCCAAGGGGATCTGCTGGGTCAGTGAAACCCATGGCAGAGAGGTCAGCTCAGAGGTTATGGTGACTGGTTTTTGGATTTCAAACGGGGAATCTTAAAGACACAGGATGATTGTGGGCATTATTACAAAGAAGTTTTAAGAAAGTTGAAAACTGTATTGGTGAGAAAAATTGCTAGAAAAGTTGTGCTGACTAGTTTTTTCCATTGCAACAAAGCACCTGCTCATTCTTTGAGGATCCCAGCACAGTCCTAGAAGACTTATTGGGAAATCTTATTCCATTTACATTTTATCCCTGATCTAGCTCCTTCAGACAGCTTGTCTTTTTGCTAGTTCACTTGTTGTTCAGTACCATCAAGTCGGTTGCAACTTAGAACAACCCTGTATAGGGTTTCTGAGGCTGTAAATCTTTGTAGGAGCAGAAAGCTCCATCTTTCTCCCATGGAGCAGCTGGTGGGCTCAAACTGCCAACCTTGTGGTTTGTAGTCCAGTGATTACCCTACAAAGCCACTGCACTCCCAAATTACTCTACGAGTCAATTATACATTATATATAGAAATGGCAAAAGTCAAAAGTGACTAGACTTTGAAAGTGACAATAACCACATACCAAGTGACTAAGTGACTCAGTATACCTTTATCTTAGTATCTCAGGCTTTCTACTTTTATTTTTTGAAATAAAATTTTGCTTCTCAGAATCTGACAGCAGAATGAAAAAAAACCCCAAAGTCCGTTAGTGTAGATCTACTAAGCTGAATCTCCATTGTTGAGCAGTTTCCTGTCACATCACTTCCATTACATACATCTGTTGTTGTGAACACCATTGAGTTGGTTTGGATTCACAGTGACCCGGGATAGGATTTCCAAGTCTTTAAATCTTTGCAGGAGCAGTAGTTTTATCTTTCTTCCATGGAGCAGCTCGTGGGCTCAAACTGCCGACCTTGTGGTTCACAGTCCACGGTGTGACACCACCGCACTCCCCAGACTCCTGAGCTTAGTCTATCAGGACCTCTGAAAATGGATGCAGTCTAGTTTTAAATAGTATACTAGATAACACCCTTCTTCCACGCAATTTACATGTTAACCAAATAGATTGACTAGATATTTCTTACACACATCACAAACATTTTAGTTTCAAGATAATGCTGATAGCTGTTTGAACCCTCTGTGTTTTACATGACACGCCCAATTGAAACATACTCATCTGGTATGTTTTTCACACTTTTCTTGGCCTCAATTTATCTTCTGTATTTCAATGTTCAGGTCACCCTTTTCTTGAATTCTATCTAGCACACTCCTATTAATTCAGGTCTAATTTCTTGCTCCCTAAACACTTACCCCCGATCTAATATATTATAATTTACCACTAGTGTTCTTGTGAACTTCTGGGTGTATCCTCAATTGCTAGAATTTGTGCAATAAATTGAAATCATTTAAGTTGACCTCTTGTCTATGTTTGTGTTTGTGTATAAGCGTGGGCATTTGACCAAGGAAAATGGAGAATTGTAATTGTAAATTATAATTACGAAGCACAAATTGTAATGATTCCGAGATCTAGAATAATTTTTGGAGTTCTTCTACTCTCTCTCTCTCTATGTTTTTGTTTTTTTTTTTTTTATCAACCACAGTATTATTGTGTACTTGTTATCATCTTTTCACCTAAAGCATTGTTGAAATTCAAGGACATTAGAGAACAGAGTCCTTTCCTCTTCCAGGCACTTTTAGCCTAAAGGAGATATCTAATAGAACAATCTACAAATAACCCCACGATGAAAAAAAGACAGCCCTTGACAATTGATTATGGGATAAAATTAAAGAACATTGAACCATTAGTCATATTATACAAGTTCATGCTGACTCTAATTTATTTTCTAAGTGAACTTGGGAAAGTTTTCCCCTTTGTGGAACTCAGATTTTCTAGTTAAAAATGAACAGTTTGGGTCAAAATATTTCCAGTTGGTCTTCCTATACCTGTAGTCATGATTTTTTATATATATAGGATATTTAGTGTTATTGTTGGGTACTGTCGAGTTGGTTCCTACTCATAGCGACACTACGAGCAAGCAATTGAAACACTGCCCAGTTCTCCAGCACAACAGCAGTTATGTTTGCTGCCAGAGTGCCAATCCATCTAATTCAAAATCTTCCTCTTTTTCCCTGACCCTACACTTTACTAAGCATGATCCTTTTCCAGGGCCTGGTCCTTCCCGAAAACATGTCCAAAGTCTGAGAGGTGAAGGCTCTCTTCTAAGGAGATTCTGACTGTACTTTTTCTAAGACATATTTGTTTCTTCTTTAGATCTCAAAGTGACATCTTTGTTCTTGTACACTTTAAAGAGGTGCTTTGCAGTAGATGTGCTTAAGGTAAAACATCGTTTGATTTCTGGACTAATTATTTCATGAGTATTGTTGCTGAATTAAAGCAAAACGAAGTCTCACGTGACCACGGTGAAGTGTTTTGGAATTCCTACTCTTCTCAATGCTATTCAATATTTGTTATGACCCAAACAGCCATTAATGTTTAATGCATCCAAATTGCTCTTAAAATAGTCTCTAAATTCAGGTGGGCTATGTTGTTGTTGTTAAGTGTCAT